GCGTCCTACTGCGAACGGTTGCGAACGGTTGCGAACGGTTGCGAACGGTTGCGAACGATTGCGGACGGTTGCGGACGGTTGCGGACGGTTGCGAACATAGAAACAACGGATCGCGAACAAGACTCTACCCCCAGACCCCCAGAGTTAAACGAGAACCCTTCGCTACGCATTCGGGAAAAAAACGTGAGAAACATGAAAACATATTCTTGAACGGACAGACTTTGTAGAAATCAACTTGGAAAACAATCGTGTTGACCACCACACTACCACTGAAAAGGTTTGGGTTTCGGACTGGGCAGCTTCTGTGGCTCTTCCGCCAAACTGGAATACATCAGGTCATGCCTTTCCAGGTTGAGGATCATGTCTTTGAAGCCACTTGACAAGGAGACTGACTATGACATGATACTTTGATGACATGGCGACTATATCTGGAGGTGGGTCTCACAAGCTGACGGTCTCTCTCCAGGTTGCTCGGTCAGCGCCGGCGAAATGTTGGCACTGCTGGAACTGGCGCCCGAGTCCAACTCAGATGCACAAGGGCCACAAGGGTCAAGGACTAGAACTTTCTCAACGCAGTATTGAAACTATCAGATCGTGGAAGCTATGCCATTGACGCCTTGCAGAGCTGAGGCGCTTTGCTGCAGTCGTCGGAACACTTGACATTCCCAATGTGATCACTGAAAGCCCAAAAAACGAAAGCATAATATATTTATACCTGAGAGGAAAGCTAGCCTCCGTAAGAAGACATGTGGCTGTGGGGTGAAGTTGACAGCGCACTTTACTGCTGTCAGGCATGGGAAGTAGGAGGCAGAGAGGCGCAAAGTCTCGCATTGAGGGTCGATATGATAGGCTCTTAGTCTAAAGAGTCAATGCTCTACCCAAACCACCACCCCTAGTCAGTAGCCACCCTAAGTGCAACCGCCCCCCCCACACCCCCTAGACTCACTTCGTTCGCCCATTGACACCAGCCTAGCCTAATATATAACATACAATATACAATATACAATTCATGTGTAATATATACTTACTTTTTCAGTGAAAAATGGAAGGCAAGAGCGAAACAATAGCAATAACAAAGATTGCAGCTATCGAGAGTAAGAACTCACTCTTTATTGGTTATTGGAAAGGTCTTGGAAGTTCCTGAGAAGCATCCAAAGATTCGTAAGACTTTACCCTGATCACTTCACATCTAGCTGTCTGACTTTCCAAGTCGTGGCAATTGGATCAGCACCGTATCAAACTTGTTCATATCATTGGAAAATCCACTATGACCCATTGCCCATTGCCAAGAAACAGTACTCACCGGCACAGGCGCAGTGTCGAAGACAGGCTCCTGAGACGGCTGGTCAGAGATGAGCAGAGCCCCGCACCTCCACACCAAAAGACAATCTAAGAATCTCACGGTCGAGCTGCTGGCTTCTGGGACAAGAGGCATCCGTAACTTCCTGAAAGTCCATGTTTGCGAGGTCAAATGAGTCATGATGAAAAGCTGCGTGAGAACAAGGATCCAAAGTGCAGGGCGTACAATTGAACATAAATAAATAAATACATACATACATACATACAGTAAATGATCCCTTGTCTGAGACAAGGACGAAGTGCTTTCGCCGCGCAATTGTTGCGCAAGACAATCCTGCACATCGTCCATGAGGCTTCTTGGGGGAATCAGAAGTTCAATTGAAACTGGCCAAAAAAAGGTACTGAATTTGAGATTCCCAAACAACTCTCTCCAAACGGTTGATTCCAGATACGGATCTATCTTGGAACAGGCACAATTTGATCTTGGAAAGCACAATTTTTGTGAGACGAGCAAAAATAGAGTAAGGCCTGGTATCTCTGATCCGGATGGATTCCCGCCAGATCACAGTGCTCAGCCCTTTCAATCCCACCTTGAGCCACGGATGCCAGAGCGCATCTTTGATTGGCATGCGTTTCACTGGATCCTCAGACAGCGATTTGAGATTTGAGTGGGTTAGTTGAGGTTGCGCATATTACGCAACTTAAATATAACTTTTGTCTGCAGCCGTTTGCACTGGAGACAACTGGACAAACATGGAGATGACTGGTCCATGTTGTCAGGCAAACCTGCTTGCTCAGTCCCAGATTCCCGATGCATCAGCTGTGTCACAAAATCCTTCAGGGCAAGCAACAGCAGACTTATTCGCTTCATTGCACAGCAGGTCGAGCACAAAGAAATGAAAAGACGGTTCAGTGATAGCTGCTGGCAAAGCTGACACAGCTGAGGACCAATTTCAAGATGTGCAGAACAAAATGGTGGCACGCATATAAAAATGAGAGGGGCATTCTGAGAGTCAGGAGCACGCAATCCAGTCTACTAATCAGTCATTCCAGCTCTCGAGCTAACGTGGTGGAATGAAATCCCTTGCTGCAGCTCTTGCCTTGGCATCATAGGAGAGCCGGTGCGAAACCTGAGGCTTTGGATCCAAGTTGCCATCCAGCAAAGGAGGATGCACTTGGTCCCATGATAGCACTTCCAGGCATACAGTGGTGCTATCAAATGCATGTATATACTGGTATTCATGCCCTGTCCCTTCCATCTGCATATGTGTCCTGTTCCAAAACTTTTAGCCTCAGCCAGTAGGCTGTTTCCATGGGCTGTGCAAATACTCTCGGGATGTGTGCCCATCTCTGATTTGCCGCCGAGTTGACTCCTTTCATCTCGAAGAGCTGCGATATTCTGCCTTGACTTAACCTGTCAAAGGTGTGCAAAAGAAATGGGACATTGATCTCTTCTTCTTGTGATTTTAGATTGAATGAAACTTTTCAGAACAAACGCCTTTGTCTCGGGGCACTGTCAAACCTTCGCGTTGAGTTTGTAGGTTTGGAAACGCTGCTGGTCTGTGAGCATCGTTTGGAAAGTTAGACTGTTGACTGCTGCATTAAAGAAATAAAGATAAAGAAAGCATAGCTATGACCAAACTATGTGATTCCCCAATGAGACAGGATGTCCAGCAAATACTCTGACTCTGGCTACTTGCAAGAACCAAAGGAATGAGGCAACCAACCTGGTGCGTTGACACGTATGGCAGAAGTAAAGACTTCGGACATCTGGTGACATCTCTCAACCGCTGGAAGACCTCCCTCTGTCCCCATCTCTGTGTTGTGAGCCAAGTAGCAGCAGGAAGTCGGTGTCCTGCATGGCAGGATCCTTAGCCAAGGAAGGATGGCTCAAAGAAAATTCTGCCCTCTTCGTACAAGTTCCAAATATCAAAACCGCTTCTGAAAGTTTCGCTACTTTCCAACGATCTTTCTTCCGAGGCCGCTGCGGAGGTCTTGAAGAGGGGCGCCTGGGCACTAGCTCAGCCCAGCTGCCCGGCTGCGAATCAGGTGCCAAGTGCAATCAGTCTATTCAATTCATCTTTGCTTCAGACGAGAATCAGCGTTATCTTATGCCAAAGCATACCAAAGCCTGGAATCACAGATCCACCTCAACCGTACCGTGACTGATGTGGTCAAGGTGCTGCCGTGAGCAGGTAAAAGGTGTTCCACCCCAAGCACCAGGAATCAACTCTGCTCGCAAGGTAGTCCTGGACAAAAAGTAAACACAGACCACCTTGCACCAGGTGTGGCAATCTAAACCTCACTCCTTGCACCTTCTCAATCCTTCTCACACGAAATCTCATCTGCTTGTCTATGGAGTCATCGTTTGGTCTTGCATCGCTGATCCCGGCAACCCACTTCAATGCGGACAAAGGCAAGTGGCTTAGCACAGCTTAGTAACACCATCAGCCCCTCAGGAGCTGACACACCAAAACAACTCGCCACGGACCAAACATGGACGTTCCTTCTCTTCATAGAGCTCTGGAGGTCTGAAGTCATCCGCCACCAGCCCGTTGAATGACACGACTTTCTCCTCGTGAGGGCTGTCGGTGTGGTGGCCGTTGTCCAGACTACTCTACAGAGATGTAGAACAGCTGGATTAACAAACAGTTCCTGTGTAGACACACATAAATACTTGTGTATGTATTTCAATATATATACTATATACCAAAAGGAGGCACAGGTTTGCACCTGGTTTTCTTCCAACAAGGCTGGCTGGCTGTTCGGAACGAATCGATTTGCCCTGTGGCGCGCTCACCTGCCCTGTGGCCGGATCCATCACAAAGGCCACCGCCTGCCCAGGATCGCCCACACGCACCTGGCGCTCCGGTGTTTCAGAGACTCACAACATTTGGACGAAACATCTCACGTGTTTGGACAAAATAATCCCGGTGTGGACCTGCTGATCATCCCACTCAAAGCATTCGGCCAACGTTTTCTCTCTTTTGATTGTCATATCAAAGCTTGTCCGAGTCCACCAAAGTCTTCGGCGTGCGAGCACCTGCCATTGTTCCTCGTCATCAAGAAAAATCAGCCTTGGATGCGATTAATAAGGCAAGGGATCTCCAGTTCTAATGCTTGCAGCAAGGGTGTCACCTCTACATATTCACAGTTTACAGCGGGTACGGCGGGGGAAGGTCGAACAACTGTGTTACCCCACAAACTGACAGAAAAGCCTGCTGTTCTTCGTGCCCATCCAAGTCACATATTCTCCAAAGAAACATCCTGCAACAACACAGTGTGGATCATGGGGTTTCTCCAGAGGTACCTATACCAACAACCCTACATACAAAGTTGAAGTGTCAACCCCACTCAGTCCCTTTGTCTTGAAAGTGTGAGCAATAAAGCATCTATACATGTGTATATATATATATATATCTTTCTCTCTCTTTGGACTTCAGTCGCTTCCAGGATCAATGTTGTATGTTTTATGATGTAATGTGTCTTGTGTATTCTACTGAATTACATAAAGCATATTACGCTGTTTTGTAAGTTTTGTATTACATTTCATGAGTTTGTATTGTATTGTGTTACATCACTATATGTTACATTGCATTACGCTAGTACAAGTTCTGTTTGATGAAATATAAACACATAAATATATGAACATGTTTACAAAAGTTATGACTCAGTCTCCACACTGTTTGCAGTTTTTTCCTTCTGCTTTTGCAGTTGCACGCACAGTTCATTCAGATTATGGTCAGCTCGAAACAGTAGGCACAGCGCCCAACTCTTCCTCATGCCCAACTCTTTCAAGCGATTGCATTCAAGGATGGGCTTGGAAGCAAAAGAACTTCTGTCTTGAACCTTCAGCGGCAGTGATCTCCTGGCTGTAAATGCTCATCACGCGGTATCCAATGACCACGTCTCAAAACGAGGCCGCGAGGACCCCAGCTCCAAAGCTGCAACGCCTCTGTATAAGTCACCCTGAAGCTGGATATTGTCTACTCCTGTCCCAAACTTGTTCCAGGGGACGTCTGATGGAAGGTGCAAGTCTATGCCTGCAAGCAAACCTTCCCACCAGGCATCCTCCCAATCTGAAGGCCTGGAGACCCTTGCAGCCTCCACGACAGTAGCCTGAGCCAGCGCAGACGACTCTGCTCTGTCAGCCACTACCTCCAGCTGCTCTTTCGCTAAGGCGCCCCTGGCCCATGTCCTCGGGCCATTGCAAACTGATCATCATGGACCTGGATGGTCGCAGACCAACTCCACTGGGCAGCAAACAGTATGCCCATGCCCCTCACCTTGAAATCTCAGCAGAAATTGAGATTAGAAACCGAACGCAGGACTTTTGCACCGCTTCTGGGGCGGCACGCGCACGCTAGCTGCAACACAAGAGGCTTGAAGCTCGATGTATGATGGGCACTCTTCAGCGATCACTGTGGGATCAGACGGGGCCAATCCAATGGGCACTGGGCAGATGAGCTACCTTGCCGGCAAGTCGACAATGAGTATCTGTCACTTGGGCAACCGAGGCGCTATGACCCTGCGTGAATGCTCTCTACGAATGAGCGGCCGGGGTGATAGAAGCTTCTCCGGGGGCTCGTGGCTCTCGCAAGTTCTTGGGTACTTGACTGCCCTCTGGATGGGGTGTTTTAAATTCTCTTACAAGCTTGCTCAAAACGCTGAGCAAGGCAAGAGACCCAAGCCTGGATCAGTTCTGTTCTCACACCTGAGAGCAGCCTTCGCGATCATGGTGGAGCAACAAAAGGCGAAGCACAAACTCGAGCAAGGAGGAAGCGAAAAACAGAAGCCAGAAGCCAACCCCAGAAAGAAGGTGGTCGCCGCCAAGGGGTGGTCATGAGCGGGGCAGGCGAGGTAGTTGGAAGCCTGCGCGAGAAAAAAACAACTCTGTCACCTGTCCATGGTCATGACGCTTGAGAAAAACAGGGTTGCAGCGTCGTGGATAGCGGTCATATCCATCATATCCAGCGGTGTCATACGCGCGTGTGTGAGTTATGTTATGTAGGTAGGTGTATGAGAGTGCGTGTGTGCGTCTCCTCTGCAGCCACGAGGTTCCTTTTGGAATGTTTTGCATTTTTAGCAGGGGGCACCGGGGGTGCTGATGAGACCGGTGCTGACAAAGACGCTCATCAGTTACCTGTGATACAGTTGGAGACGTCCAACTGCATACCTGCAGAGTTCTGACTTTCAGTTCCTACTGGGCCCCGCTTTAACTAGAACAAGCTGACCAGCCATCGCATCTGTTCACCATCGGCAGTCACGCACTTGATCTTGCGTTTGAGCTTGCAGTTTGAACCTGGCGGTGAGTGCAGTCATTTGGTGTGTTTTGTTTACCTGGACTCTTAGGTTTTTTTCACTTAGGCCGGCGTGTGGCAACGGCTTTCAAGTCAGTACGCATGTCAATAAGCGTGTCTCTCCTCGCGAGAGCACAGGGTGACCCCCCAGAGTGGCCCCTGTGGACCCGTCGAACGGGCGTTAGTCTTTATCTCCCTGCCCGGAGATGTACGTGCCCAGAGCGGGCGAAGTAGGCTTAGGCCAAAGTTATTTGCCAAGACTTGCCGAACTATTGAATTCTAAGCTGGCTTATGCCTCTACGTGACCGCAACGGTCTAAGCAGCCGGCCACTTTGGCAGGGCACAAGGTGACCATAGCGGTCAAAGCATTTCCAGGTTCCATTGGAACCCGTCGCCACCTCAGGCGCACACACAGCACGTACATGTTCAACGAGGTTTGCCTAGGTTTTCTAATGAGGTTTGGGTTCATTGGCTTTCGTCCCCTCCATTTGGTTTCCCTTTTCATCCTTTCCCCCTTCACACACTTTTGTTTTCCTCTTTTCTTTCATGCCCTCCTGTCTTCGTGTTTTGTCACCTCGTCCTTTCTTTCGTTTGCGCACACATCGGTCCTGGCCTTAGTGTGTACGTGCACAGTTACATACACATTAAACACAGGTTTCAGGTCGCCCAGGTCTTGACAATGAGGTGGGGTTCATCGGTTGTCCCTGTGCACTTGGTTTCTTTTTCATTTCCACCACACACACAGACACACTCTTAGATTGTTGCCCGCAAGAGCTAGGATCAGTACGAAGTTCAAACCGAAAGGCGAGGAGGTCCGGAAAATTGAAGATGTTTAACAAATTGTTTCAGTGCACTAGCCGCTTACTGCAAAACACAGAAGAAGACAGCTTGTCAACAGTTGATAACAATTGAGAAAGGCAGGTACGTAGTTCTGGCGTCCCAGAACTATATCACTTTGCGACAGATGCGTCTTCGTTGGCTGGAGACATCTGAAGCACACTCCAGCCCCCTGCCTCTTTTTTTTCTGCGTTGAGAAACTGTAAGTTAGTAGCGATACCAGGAGCCCTAGTAGCAAAACCAGGGGCCCTAGTGTAGCGTTCTTTATGACTCAAAACCTTAGGCACAGGTGTGGACACACACACGAAGCCGTACTCGGCGCACTGACCCTTGCTTACAGTTTAGTAGCGTGGCCAAGAGTCGCTAGTAGCGTCCTTACACCCTGTAGAAAGGTCAGAGGTCCGAGCTCCTGGTAGCGAGGCCAGAAGCCCCTAGTAGCGTCGTTGGTGTCCGCCGGTCGCAAAACTTCGTACATATAGCGCCAATATTGGCGCTTTGTGTGAAGACTACTAGCGACCTAAAAAGCCTTAGAAAGACAGAAAAAGCAAACAAAACAAAAGCAGACTAAGAGGGCAAGAAGGAAAGATAGGTGTAGTTACGAGGCCCACTTAGTTAAATGAAAGTAGAACGCGAGCGGGACATTTTGTCTTAAACCGCCCGGGTAGCTGGCAATAGAGTAGGAGAAACGGAAGGAAAGGCACCAACACACAAGTGTGTTGAGTGCGATTTCCTTCCATTGCCCGAATAGCGGGTGGGATAGCAACCGAGGCCCAGGGGTGGGGAGGTAGGGGGGAGGGTGGGTTAGGGTGGCCTGTAGGCCTTGCCATCATTGGCTTTCAAGTAGAGCCGATTTGGGCCGGCGCACCCCTTCTCTGAAAGACACCTGGAACCTAAAGAAAGGCTTCAAGAAACGAACAGCAACAAAAGGAGAGAAAGAACCGAAGAGCGTGAAAAACACATGTAACAAAAGCACAGCGCTAAACCCCGCCTGTGAATACTTAGACGCATGTTTCCATGTGAATCTCAAGTGGGGATCACAGTGAGCCCTGCGGCATAAGATCAGTGGTATCGTGCAGCAGGGTCGATCAGGAGCATGAATCACAGTGAGCCCTGCGGCATGGTATCCCCCAGGATCTGGGTCTGTGCACATGCGGCGCCCTTTGACGGGGATCACACCACAGCCCTCAGTGGGACCCTGTGGCGAAAACACACTTAGATTGTTGCTCGCAAGAGCTAGGATCAGTACGAAGTTCCCCTTGACTGGAAGAAAAGTGCAAACCGAAAGGCGAGGAGGTCCGGAAAATTGAAGATGTTTAACAAATTGTTTCAGTGCACTAGCCGCTTACTGCAAAACACAGAAGAAGACAGCTTGTCAACAGTTGATAACAATTGAGAAAGGCAGGTACGTAGTTCTGGCGTCCCAGAACTATATCACAGAACTATATCACTTTGCGACAGATGCGTCTTCGTTGGCTGGAGACATCTGAAGCACACTCCAGCCCCCTGCCTCTTTTTTTCTGCGTTGAGAAACTGTAAGTTAGTAGCGATACCAGGAGCCCTTAGTAGCAAAACCAGGGGCCCTAGTGTAGCGTTCTTTATGACTCAAAACCTTAGGCACAGGTGTGGACACACACACACCTACCTTTGCCCCGTCTCGTCCTCCTTTTCATGTCTTCATCCTTGTCTTTGCTGCACGCACACTTTCACAACCGTCCTAGCCTTAGTTTTTTTGCCTCCCCTCGGGGGGTGGCAGGGAATAATTGGTATAATGCGACCCGCCCCCAATAACCAAGCGAATAAACTCTACCATTCAACCAAGACATAGGATAAGTTTAAACGACTATTGAGAAGTTACGGCATATAGTTGAATAGGACTGTGACTTTGTTTATATGTTATCTGTGCCTTTTGATCAAAACAATCAAATCAAATCAACAAAGATACTATTTTTAAGCGTTGTTCACAAGGACAATTGTCATCATCATAACGGCACATATATACATACGCATATATGTATATATCACACCATGTTTCTACGTGTTTCTCAATCAACTGCAATGTCTAAACATATTTAGCTACATTCTACACATACATAGACACATGCGCTGCCAATATCGCAAAAGCCACATAAAACTATAGCAATTTGGATTGTAGAGAGCTCTGCACTTGGATTTGAAAAAAAAGCCGGAGGTGCGGCTATACGTGAAAGAACACTTGGAGAGATGTAGGGTTTTGGCGCGGCGTCAAATATATATATATATATATACATATGTTGTATATGTATTTACTCTTCACGCCGCGTTTAGGATTTAGGGTTTAGGGTTTTAGAACGCAAATTGTAATTGTACCAACAGGACATAGTTCATGTTAAACCGGATATGTAGGACATATAGGGTATGCACTTGGTATATTCATATCACACCATGCCCAATCCTAGAAACCCCAAAAAAAACAATTTGGACACGATGCCCAATCCTAGAACCAGGAAACCAAAAGAGACAAACAAACCAACAAAAATAAATGATTTGGACACCATATTCATCCTACAAAGGTTTAGACTAGTTTGACATGCTTTTCTGTTTTGTGTTTTTTGTTTGTTTGTTTTGTTTGAGAGGTAGTTTACTGCGTAAACACACACATTTATGAACAATGTTTTCTGATGCGCCTAACCATTTGCAGCGTTTCAATTCCAAGGCCATAACGCCAATATTCAATAGCGCTACCAATACAGCATTGTTTGAAGCCGGGACTGACTACAACATACAACCTGTACTAATCCTAACTACCATACTGTCTATATCATATTTCTTGAAACAAGCTTTCAAACATACATTGTTTACAACTACAATTACATCTACAACAACAAGGCACTTATTATCCAGTGAGTGAGACTCAAGAGAAGAAACTCTGTGGCAAGTTGAATTATTCATAACAAAAACTTTCGTATCAATATGAAATCCACATCCGCAATAATTACACGAATTGTGGATGTTATCCAAGAATCACTGAACAATTACATATCATGTTTTTGGTACTTGTCTTTTTGTTGTTTTGTTATGCTTTTTGTAGTTATCAGTTTCAACTTCGCCTATACTGCATCTTGTAATAAAATCATCGTTTGTATCGTTGATATACCTACAGAATTTGACCATATTTTGAAAAGGCTGTCCAAACCCATTCGGGATAATTTTAACAGAACATTGTTGTAATTAGACACTGCCATATGAGCCTTAAGCAGAACGGCAAGTTAACACCAAGCAAGTATGAAGTTTGTTTCTTGCGCTGTCAATCGCTAGTTATTGAAGCATATATAGTTGTTTGCGTTCTTTTCTTCAAGGTAATTAGTAATTCTGTCATCACCATTTTTTGCGACGTTTACATTGAAGACACTTCATTTTGATTTGGTATACTCCCTGCACATCAAGAATCTACCTACGTCATATTCATGTCGTTTCTGCTTTCCAGTTTCTTAGTCTCACTTGACACGTGTTTACAGGTCTTATTCAATTATGCTATGTTGTATGTCGACGACGTAATATCATCAATATGTTTAGCGTATTTCTCGATCAGTTTAGTCGTTGGTGTTTACAAATATTTATATAAATATAGTTCTTCGTTTTGTTCAGCTTTTGTTCACCCTCTTCTGCGTTCAGTCTCTTATAAACTTTTAACAGTATATGATGCCCAAACATATTGTCAATCATTGTCAATCATTGCGTCAGCATATATTTCATAAT